TACCTGTTAAGATTTTTGTGACAGTTCCGGTTTCATAGCTCACATGAGTACCTATATGAAAATGTACAGGCTCTTGAGAAAAATACTACTTATGTCAAAGAAAGCAAGTTATACTTAAGCACAGGTTTATTTTAACTTTAACTATGAATAGAAAAGCATTGATAGAATTTTGAAAGTCGCTTATCTAAGCCGGTAATCTAACCGATCCAAACGTAAATTTCATGGTACCTAAGCAACTCATCTACACTGCTCATATTTTAATTGCAATTTTAATTAATATTTTACTACATTCGTACTAAAGAAGGAACAAGGAAACCTGCATATCTGAGAAATAAAAAACATTTCGTAAATTATTCTATATATATAACACGTAACAAAAACCCTGTACTTCCCGTTAAGTGTGTTGTCAGAATCAGTATTCAAGTGTATATAAATATTTTTTTTATAAAATAAACACATTTAAAATAATTAATTTCAACTAAAAAAAAATAATTTACACATTGTATGTGGTTTTATATCTCAGCATTGGCCGAGGAGTAAGAGGATTGTCAAAGACCCCGCATTACCTATAATCGTGTGAGGAAATAAAACCACATACAATTTGCAAACATATTTTTTAATGAAATTAAAAAAAAATATGGTCGAATTTTCCGGAAAAATAATTGTTGCTATACGCTTGAATTCTGATTCTGATAACGCAGTTAACGGGAACTACAGGGTTTTTGTTACATGTTGTATATAGGAGAACCCGCGACAGCAACAGCAATATTCTGAAAATGTTTGGGAGCTAGAAATGTGTCAATCATACATGATTCGTTCGTTTGAGCTGGTACACTTAAAAGTATCGATAGTTCATTCGTTTGTTTTTGAATGTACCATGTAATCGCAAACAATTAAGGGTACTTTTTAACCCGCGATTTGTTTGAATAGTGAATGAGCCGAAAACCGACCGAATCCCGAATGATCTGAATAAACGGGCGAATCAAATAAACAATGCAGAATGCAGAGTAAAATTAAAAATTATATTACATTTTATCATATTTATTTGTTACATCTATGAGTTCAAAATATCATTTTGTAGAGTTTACTAAAAATAATAATTCAAAAGATTTCACCTCATTCAATTATAAGATAGGTAAAAGTTTAATTTTGTAGCAAATAAATGTTACAATTCCTATTTCAGACATGTAAAGTAAGATGAAATTGTGTATTATTAGGGATGAAATTTAAGAATAAACAAATTTATCAACCAAATTCAAATCAAATCAATTGAATCACTTAAGCTTTTTGTGTTTATGCCGTCTAGCGTCGATTGTACTTACCACCTTGAAAGTCAATAACTTTTAGTTCGATAAAATGACTTTATTACCTATAGCATGTAGTAGATGGCGCTATTACAAATCTCAAATAAAAAAATTTCGGTTCCCAATGGATCTCACAGACTCACAGAGTACTGGAGCTCGAAATGATCGATTTGAATGATCGATCGAAATGGATCGTACTGGTGTACGCATGACGAAATGTACTAGAATGATTCGGTCACTTGAAATAAATGATTGACACATGTCTATTGGGAGCCCATCAGCTCCCAATAGACCATATTGAATAAAATTATCTTAATCAATCCCTTCATTACTATTGACGATTTTATAACTTATCGATTTATATTAAATTATTCGTGTTTATATCATCTTACTTCTATCTTATATATCAATTTGATATCAATCAATCAATTTTTCTTCGATAAAATGACTTTACCAACAGAATTAAGTAGATGGCGCTATTACAAAGCAATTTTATTTGAAAGAAAACTAAAATTACAGTCTAAAAATAATGATTGTTACATAAATATATAATTATATAAAATAAAATTTTTATCTTATATTTTTGTCGCACCTGTGGTTGAAAATGATCATATAGTCCTGTGCTGTGAAATATTTTTATTTCATTTGAAGGTTTCACTTCTACCGCATATTTTTTAAATAACTGTAGTACAATTCACAGTGGTATAATTTATTTAGGTCTTAAATCTAGTTTTTTCAATTTATTATGTAATATAGAGGCCACTTTTAATTCGATTAACAGCCAATGTGGGTGTCGGCAAATTTCTCAATTAGTTGGTTTACATAAAAATTAAACAGCATAGGAAACGTAATTTCCCCTGTTGTTAGAGAGGGAGTACTGGAGTTATCTAGATTCCAGTATGTACTTATCCCACAATGTATCGGCCCATCTCACCTGATTCTTTTGATATTGTTACGAGTTTAGGGCTCGTGACAATAAAAACTGCCGATTGAATTACCAAAATCAACGCTTTAATTACCGAACACCAATTTAAACTTAAGACACTAATAATTAATCACACTGATTCACTTTATTTCGCTCCGAAGCTTCGCTTGAATCGCCAAATTCAATACTGCCCCGGTCACGTTCCTCAGCGGCTATAAATACGCCTTTTCCACCGAAAAATCCAGAATGTTCCAGCAAATACCGGTCCCGACCGACTAAGTGCAGAAAGTTCGTGAGTGGACTTTTCTAGAAGGCTTAATTCTTCTATTCGTTATTAGATGGCGCTGTTGGGAGAGTTCCAGAAAGATCTTGACACTCCTATTTCTGATACCTGATATCAGATGGCGCTAGTGCATCAACTGTAGCGCAACAATATATAAGAATAGAAGGATAGATATACACTCAGGCGGTACACCCGTACCCCTCAACTTGCCCCAAAGAGTGTTTTCCCTGTCTTGTAATATTTACCTTACTTACTTATCGGCATCACAAGCGCTCTCATGATCAGTTCCGTTAAGTAACCATGACCTTGACACAATGAAAGGAAGATCCCAACACGCGAGGTAGGTGCACTCCCACATACTTGAGATGCCGATACTAGGGCCGTCATGACCTGGCGATTTTTCTCCCTGCTTTTTCATAATCACTATAATTACATCATTCGCTGGAATGTTGATGTTACGCTCTGTCATGATAGTCTCACGTTCTCTCACCTTAACATCAGTTGAGTATTTTAGGAAAGTAAAAAGTAAAGTTACAGTCTATATAGTTCACACTGCCGGGCACACTCACTCTCACTTCTAATAGGGCTTTAGGGTAATGAAGTGCTTGAAATAACTTTTATTTTTTATTTCTCAGACATGCAGGTTTCCCTTAATCGTAGAGCACGTGGTAAACCAAACAACCAACACTTAAAATTGCAATTAACAGTTCTAATAAACCAGGGTTGCTTGCGTATTATAAAATTTATAGCGGGAGCTAAGTCCCTGCGCTACCAAGGCTCAGTTTTTCACGAGCTAACAGCTTAAAGCTCCTAAAGCTTATTGACAATACGTTTACAGTCTTTCACGCCATCGACACTAACGGGCACACTTGGCTTAGGATTTAATTTATTATCGTTCCTCGAAAACGTTTTGAAATCTCCTAAAGGAAGGTAATAATTCACCTAAATATCCGCCTATTATCTACCTAATTTTTAAACTCCTCACCACCTAAAGTCTTAACAACTAGAACTCAAACCAGGAATTAATGAAAAGCTACATAAAATATACATTCGGCAAAGAAATTAAAGAATAGGAAACTTCAAATGAGCAGTTGTTTTCTTCATATTTGTATAATAATCGTATTTTTTACGTGGTAGAGCCATGCTGCAGCTATATTACTAGTATAGTTGTAGCACGAATGGGTCGGCTCGACCGGGGAAGGACCACGCTCTCATAGAATAATAGCGTAAAATAGCAGCCTAACGCTGTTATATTTCGTATGATGAGTGTAGAGAACCGGAGACCTTGTTTACTGGAGACGAGGCAATCCATCTTATTCCTAACGAGTGACAACGCATTTCAATTTTGATTTGAAATCGAGGATAGATGTAGATGTCTATGGGCTGCAGTAAACACTTACCATCAGGTAGACTATGTGCTCGTTTGTTACCCTTATAAAAATTCATTATGAATCACGGAGTTTCTTATTCAACATTTGTCTATTTTTTTAAATTAATATCATTGATGTTATTCTAATTGAAATATGTCGTTTCAATATCATTAAGGATGGTTCTATTAGAGTAGCAGCCTCGTACCGTACTCGTATAAAGTGGTCACCTACTAGATGGAGTCACGACCTGGTAAGACATGCTGGAAGTCTATGGATGTAGTTGGCTCAGGAACTTATTTTATGGCATTACTTGGAGAAGAACTACGTTTAACTGGATTTGTGAAGGGATAATGATGAATGATAGAAGATAATGATGATAATACGAGATTTCAAAAATTTAAATATTAAAAGAAATAAAAATGTATATTTTTAATTATGAACTCGTTCTAGGTTAGATAGCAGAAACAGCAAATATGAGGTTCAACACATTTACATCCTTAAAAAAACCAATGAACTTACGTCTCAAGTTTAAGGTTTACACGAAACGATGCACCTACATGCACTTACCCCATATATATTATTAAATGTCGGCTTTTGCAGCCCAACCTAAGTCCATCGCTGAAGAAAATCCTCTACTAAAGATCGTCATACGATTTTTAGTGTCTACATTCATCCACTCTTTTTATGTTTCTTCAAGTCGTTATCCCATTTAATGTTTTTTCGCTGAACTATAAAAAATATATAAATTTTGTTAAATTGCACGAAACAAGGGCATCCCAAAATTCTCAAATTTGACAAAATATAATATACGAATTTCCAGATGTTAACTACACTGTTTCAAGATACGAAATGTTGATATCTTAAAATATATTAAACACCTGGAAATTTGTCATAATTTCTAATTTATCTACCAATTAAAAAAATATTTTGACAGTCTTAAACCTCGTTGATTATTATCAAACGCTAGTATTCTTAATTCGGTATTCCGTGCAAGTAAACTGCAAGGCTGTCCCACAAAAGCTCAAGTATAAAACGAATCGAGAAACATCGTAACATATCACACTTGCAACTGCTTTTGCTTGTATTTGTACACTTCAATCCAACAAACCTCTAAAAACATGTTCAAATTGGTAAGTTAATAAATCTTCTGACGTATTTATTGTTGATATGATATTCCAATATTCCGGGTTACTGATATATTAAATAAAAAAAAACTTTGGAAATTTCCCACATCTTTGCAGAATCGAATCAGATCATGTTAAAATATATATTTTCAAACATATTTAAGTTTTTTCCACTGATTAAGTAATTAAGCAACAAATCTTGAAGAAATGTTATAGCAGATTGTGGCGGTATCAGAATATCCACTACCCCATATCATCCTGTGGGTTTTATAAGAGGCAACAAAGGGAAAAAATCCTGGTTTTTTGCTCATCTCCAGACATGCGCAGTAGCAGCGACTTCTCAATAACAACTAAAAACTTAAGCTTTGTAATTACGACAAATAACCCCTTTATGAGGCAGTATATGGGGAAGCCTACATTCAACTGTGGACTTTGATAGTTTAAATGATAAACAGATGGATAAAACTACTTTTACGGATTTTATCGCGTTTAATTTAAATTTTAATTATTTTTATTTTTTATTCCCGACGTTTCGGGTGCTTTTCAGCACCCATGGTCACGGGGGACTGAGGTGACTGACATCCCGATATCGCTAAACCCGGAGTACCTTCAGCTTTTTTAATTATTGTTTATGGTCCGATCTATGCAAAATGAACTGACTATGTCCTGAGGTCTTAATCAATGTGTAGTAAAAGTAGTTTTAATCAATGTGTAGTGTTCGCGTAATTATAAGAAATCATTATGATAAATAGATCTTTGAAAAATTACTAGAATAAAACGATATTAATTTGTTTAAATACTCTAACAATCTTTTTTTCTTTATATTAAATTTTATTAAGAAAACACCCTTTTTACAGTTCATCTTCGCTTGCTTCCTCGCTTTGGCTGCCGCCAAGCCCGGATTGTACTCTGTTGCCTACACCGCACCAGTAGCGGCGGCGTACACTGCACCTGTTGCTGCAGCGTACACTGCACCCATCGCCTACTCCGCCTACTCTGCCTATCCTGCGCCCGTTGCTGCATACTCCGCTTACACATACGCAGCCCCATACTCTGCATATTTCCTCCGTCGTTGATTCACCACAAAAGAAAATAATATTTATTGATATATGTAATATACTGAATAATGGAACCTATGTTTTTTTAAATATTATAACAAGAGGTTTCGAAATCATTTAACGTTTTCTTTTTGACTATGGCGAATAAGAAGGAGTCATATATTACATTAAAGTATTATTTGTTTATCGTAACACCAATTCCTGTAAACAAAGATTTCTTTATATAGTTCCTCATCATCATCCATCATCCATCAGGTTGTCGTAAGGGGCGGAAACTGAAACAAATGATGAACATCTTCTTAATTACAACTTAATATAATAAAACAAACTGCGGTTGACAACCTGCCTGCTTAGCGTAGCAACGACGGAAAATGTCCTTCTAAGTGCAAATCTATGGGGAGGGCCTATGTTCTGCAGGCAATATTTGATATTCTGTTATTAATGAAAAATGATCACCATAACTACCCTTCACGAGTTCACAGCTGTATATAAGCCTCTGCGAAAAGTGTCAAAGACATGAGCCTGAGACACTTGCATGTTTTATCAGATGTTCATACCTTTGATTAAAACTACTTTTACGGATTTTATCGCGTTTAATTTAATCTTAATTATTTTTATTTTTAATTCCCGACGTTTCGGGTGCTTTCCAGCACCCATGGTCACGGGGGACTGGGGTGACTGACGTCCCGATGTCATTGTTAAATCCGGAGTACCTTCAGCTATTTTAATTATTGTTTATGGTCCGATCTATGCAAAATGAACTGAGTATGTCCTGAGGTCTTGCAGTGGTATACTTTGGTTTAGTTTTAATTTTATTGATTATAGGGTCCCAAGCAGGTGGTAGTACCGAGCCTCCTTCTCTATTGAAATTAGGATGTTTTTTTTTTTAATTTCAATAGCCTCACGTATCATCCTTGGTAGGAATCGGTGTTCTTTCGCGACGATTTGTGGTCTATCAAATCTGATGTAATGGTTGGGACCGTAGTAGTAGTTTTAATCAATGTGTTCTATTCGCGTAAATATAAGAAATAAAGATGTTCATACCATCTAGTAACCTCTATAGTGCTTTCCAAAGGAAAAGTTAAAAGTGAACATGCTTAACACAAAAGTCTTGTGTAATTTTTATGTCATACCCACGCCATTAATTGCTAGAAACACTATGCTATGCGATAAATCGCCCGAATCGGTAAGTTTCACTTCGACCAAGAGGTGAATTGACAGATCCGACTCCGCTTAGTGACGTTATGGAGATAACGACACATTTTGTCGTCACATATTTTTTACCAGTGTGTGTTGCTAGACGTGGTCTACATATGGATCTGAGACGTGGTCCTTCACTGTTACACGTATAGGAAAGGTTAAGGTCGTTCTACGAGGTTTTGAGTCGGCTAAGCTTCGAATTTATTTACGTTATAGAATGCGTAATAAAGTTGTTCGCAGTAGATCCAGAGTAACCTATAAATAGCTCATAGAACCCCCAATCGATATGGAAAACAGGTTTTCGAATGACAACCTGTTTATTTGCGATATTAGATTCATTTCATTGGCCTCATTTAATATTGACGAGCGCATAAAATAGATGCTGTTGCACACACACACATACACACACACGCGCGCACACGCACACGCACACGCACACGCACACGCACACACACACGCACACGCACATGCACACGCACACGCACACGCACACGCACACGCACACGGACACGCACACGCACACGCACACGCACACGCACACGCACACGCACACGCACAAGCACACGCACACGCGCACACGCACATGCACAAGCACTACACGCGCACGCGCACACACACACGCACACGCACATGCACATGCTCACGCACACGCACACGCATACGCATACACACAAGCACACGCACACGCACACGCACACGCACACGCACACGCACACACACACGCACACGCACACGCAAACGCACACGCACACGCACACGCACACGCACATGCACACGCATATGCACACGCACACACACACGCACACGCACACGCACACGCGCCACGCGCACGCGCCCACACCCCCACACGCACACACACACACACAACATAGGAGCACATACACAATTTTTGTACACTGTAAGTAATATATTATGTACAATATAGACAAGAGACATGAAGAGCATTGACTCCTGTAACACAGGCTTTCCTAGCACAGGAGTAAAAGATCACTGTTTGCACATTTCTTATTTTGTACCAAATGTAATAAAATTGTAAAATTGTGAATTGTGAAACGTCGGGTATTACAATTAATATAAATAAAACGCGATAAAATCCGTAAAAGTAGTTTTAATCAATGTATAGTGTTCGCGTAAATATAAGAAACCATTACTGTGAATTGTGTAAATTTTCCTTATGTGTGTGTCAATAAATTATTATGGGGGGTATCTATATAGTTTTCTCATCTGATTGGGATCTATAAATACATCATACAATCTATACATACATGTATATATAGATTACGTCGTACGGGATGGTAATATCGACCAAAAATATCCTTGACTGTGCCCGGTCCATCAGCACAATATCAGGCTTATTCGCAAGAATAGTCCTGTCTGTGATGATGGCCCGGTCTCATTAGAGCCTGGCGCGGTCATTTTTGAGCACAGCTTCCGGCAAGTACTTGTAATACGGCAATTTCCAGTCCACGAGACCGTATTTCAGAGCGAGCTCCTGGTGTAGAATTCTGGCTACTAGGTTGTGCCTGTGCCAAGTACTCAGAGTTAGAAAGCGCCGAACAACCGGAGATGACATGCCTAAGCGACTCACCGGGATGGCGACAAGCTTGACAGACGTCGATGGTGCCATCCTTTAGGATGTATCTCCGATAGTTGTTGGTTTTAATAACCTGATCCTGTATTGCACAAACAAAACCCTCGGTTTCCCCGAAGAGGTCACCGAAACGTAGCCAGTTGAGGGAGGCGACTGTATCTACGAAGGGTTCATGAAGAGCCCTGTAGTACCTCCCGTGGAGCTCCTTCTCCTTCCATACGGTCTCCCGGTCGGAAATGCTAAGCACTGCTGGGTCCTGCCATAGCTCGTGGGCTAAGGATAGAGGGGTAAGCCCTTTATCACTAGAAATGACGTCATTATAGAATGGATCATCCGATCTCGCCAGAAAGTAATGACGGAGGCTGCACACTTCGCGATTATGCATGGTGAGTGCGCTCAGAAAACCACGCCCACCATACTTTCGCGGCAAGTACAGCCTCATTACCGACGATCACGGATGATGCATCCTATGGGACGTCATGGTAGTGCAGACTTTTCTATCCAGGGCGTTAAGTTCGGTCTGAGTCCACCTGAGTATGCCAAAGGTATATATGAGGACAGGCATGACCCAACCGTTATATGCGTGTGTCTTATTCACACCGGACAAAAGGCTGTTAAGCACTTTGGTCAAGCCTGCACAAAACACGTCGCAAACTGACTGTTTCATACCAGTCTCATCGATACCGATGTTCTGTGATATACCCAGGTATCGGTATGTGTGTATGTTTCAGCCTCGGAAAGGGTCCTTAAGTTGACGGGCATAGATAAATCTATGCCCTCTGAGTTAGCAACCCTCCTTCCTTTCAACATGAAGGACCGCACACTTATCCGTTCCCCAGCTCCATTCCAATAGAATTGCTAAATTCACAAGTGATGTTTAGCAATTCCATAAGATGGGAGCGACTGGAGGCGAATAACTTGAGGTTATCCATATAGAAAAGGTGGGTCGCTTTTGTTCCTCCCTTTCGTAGCTGAAATCCTCTCCCGGAGCCCTCCAGTAAGGTACTAAGAGGGTTCAGAGAGAGGCAGAACCAGATTGGACTCAGACAATCGCCCTGGAAGATACCCCTTCTTATCTTTATGTGGTTCTCCGCAGCCATCATCCGCTCGCCAGATAACAGAGGATCGTACTCCACTGCCCCATACACTGCTCGAGGAAGTCTTTAACTGTACAGTCAATCTTGTACAGCTCGAGGAACCCTCTTTAGCCTTGTATGGGGCACCGAGTCGAATGCCTTTCTGTAGTCTATCCAGGTGGCGGAGAAGTTCCGACGGTTGCGTTTCACCACTTTGCCAATAACTGCGTCAATGAGGAGTGGTTCCTTGGTTCCACGACCACCGCCCCGACATCCATTTTGAGCGCGTGACATCACCTGATTTCACTCCAGATGACGAGTGATACTCGCGCTCAAAATGGATGTCAGTATCTTATATATGGTGGGTAGACACGTGATGGGACGGTATTTGTTCGGATCTGTGGTATCCTGATCTTTAGGAACCAAATGAGTGATCCCAGTAGTGAAGAGGCTCGGGAGCGACTTCTGGTTAAGAGCCTCTTGGAACTGTCGGGCGAGCACAGCGTGACACACTACGAACCCCTTCAGCCAGTAATGATGCAGTCCGTCGAGCCCCGGACTTTTCCAGTTCGGGGCCCTACGGACCGCCTCAGCCACGTCTTCTGGCGTTATGGTGACGGGGTCCATAGGCGTAACACTCGCACTCTGGCTCGCCACAACTTCCATCCATGGGCTCTCGTTGTGGTTTACGGGTTCTGACAACAGGCCACGCCAAAATGCGACAGTGTCAGCCTGATCCGGTCCTGGGCCCGCTCCATATACCTCTAGTCACTCCAATGATTTATAGAGCCTCTTCTGATCACTCTGAACGAGACGATTCTGGTTAAACCGCCTTGACCTCTCGCTAAATTGTCGAATCCGCTCCCCCAAGCAGCGATTTTTTGCTTCAGGTCATCTATGCGCTCCGTTAGTTTCTGCGTGATATCCGGCTGGGACAAACTAATATTTGTCCCAGCAAACGCCATTCTAACGGTGCGCACAACTCTCAGTCTATTATTACCATACCTGAAGCTTGTCATTCTGCCGATAAGGGCCCTTGCCTTTGCGATACGGTCCTCAATTCTCTTTTTCCAGGCTGGGATGGCGCTACTTTGTCGAGTAGCACGTCCAGCCGTGGGAAGTTTGGTGCCAATAATACGGCATACTGCCAGTGCGGCGCCAAAAATAATTGAGTCCGTCTCACAAAGGTCCCGGCTGGCTTCCAAATAGGTCACCAGCATTGGGTTAAGAGCCCGCACGACAGCCTGATTTCGCTTGCTAAGTGGTATGCGGGGAAGTCGCGGTCGATTTTCGAGAGGCATGCTGCGCGTTTCCAGTATCGACTCTTCCAATATGCTCCTCATTTTCTCTAGTTCGTGGGGGACTATTCCATCATCGCCTGAATCAACCACAAATGGAATATTGACGGCAGCGTCCACATTTGCAGTTTGCTGCGCAATTAGTGGCGCCGCATTTCCAGCCGTAGCATTTCCATCCGATGAGGGAACAGCCTCACGTCGTAGTCGTTCGAGTTCGGCGTCACCAAATATGTTGGAGCGCAGGATGTACCGAACTCGGTCTGCCAGGTTTTGCTCAGTGACGGATAGAGATGGCTCCAGCTTTGCAAAAAAAGCGATGCATCCGAGCCCGATATGCCAAACTCCGGTTTCTTCCCCTTTTGCCCTAAAGTACGCCCGCAGTGCGTTTGCGTTTATTGTTTGTGACCAACGCATGCAACGTGCTCCACCAGCGGCGGGTGTCGCTTGCTGAGTTCGAGAAGACCCAGCCGACAACAAGCCTTCTGGTGGGGATGATGGATGCGGAGGGCTGCTAGGTGATCGTACAGCTCCTCGCGCTCGGCTGGCTGCCCGCATGCTGCGGCGTCCAGCGCCAGCTCTAGACGCGCCCCGGCGATGCCCAGGCAGCGGCCCTATGCGCGTTCCTCTTTGTACCATCATCCATTTATGGGCGCCAAATAACGGGAGACGCCCAAGCCCGTCACCGTTTCGTGGTTCGGTAATATGCACAAACGGACCTTTGCACCCACAATTTTGCCTAGGCACGGCACTCACACCTCTTGGCAGGGCGCTGACTGACTCCGCCGACGTAGTAGTTTTGTCACATAACTGTTACGTCAGCGGGCGATGGGGTCGTACAAATAATAGCTATAATAATTATTTATTTTAAATTATTTTATAATAAATGCAAATCCATTATTACGCCTTATTAATTTAAAATAGTAACCTACGGAATCTTAAAATAATTAATATAATCCGTGAACCCGTTAACAATTGCTGTCCGATCTTTAAATCGGAAGTATTTGGTAAGATCCGGGGACGCGCACGAGTCCCTGTTCGGGCCATTATTTGTTTTTTCTACCTGAGACTGCTTGAAGTTCGCAACGCACATGAGCCTAAACGACGTACATTAAAAATTTTAATTATTCAAAGTGCAGTTGATCCGGCTGAGGATCCACCTACCACCTAAGCCTTACTTGATGTCGTGATGTGAGCTAACAGATTGTTGGTCTATCATCCTGCCAACGGCCATCATCACCGTCGGACCTGGGGTATCATCGGCTTCTTCCGCTAGTTTCTTCTGCGACTAGGTTTTGTATGTGTGTGGAAGTAATAAAAATAAAATAGTTTACTATAAAAATTGATCATCTTAAAAAAACCACCTATCTTATGAACCAAACCTAACAGTACACCATCAAATGGAGATAAAAGTCTCACTGTGCACTTAATTTTTAATAATTTACATCAGATTTACAGTAATTATTGCTACGCCTTTAGACCCCCAATATGTTTAACTAAAGTGCTTCACCCATAATCATAGTTTTGTGTACACACTATCCAGTACAATAGTATCCTTAGTCATTTTGCCAAACGAGGTAATTGCAGTAAATCATCCTGATATTAGCCACCGGTTTGTGTATACAAAGTTTTTATTCTAAACTAATAATAGCATTTTTTATTTAATTTTATCAGTGACGTGTCATTAGTTTGTTTAGCAGTAAGCTCCGTGTAGTGGTGTTGTAAGAAAATTCTCCACCCCATATCGTCCCGTGAGTGTCGTAAGCGACGCCACACGGAAATTGAAACAGGTGATGAGCAGTAGCATCTTCCTGATAACAACCCAAAATAATAAATAAACTGCGACTGACGATTATTGCGATGTATTTATTTGAAAAAAAAACACGCGTCATCCTGCATATACTCGTAACGAAAACGAATATCTAAAGGTAGGAAAACACTTATCTAACCTTCTTTTTTCATTTCCATAAAAATTAGCCTATTGCCCCGGGTACTAACTACACACAAAATTTCATTGAAATCGGTTCAGTAGTTTTTAGCGTGAATCGTGAATACGCAGACAGACGGACAAAATATCTAGAAACCACTAATTTGACTTCAGTACCCTTTAGTTTGTCCACTGGACTTGTTTTTTTTTTTTCAAGAATACATTGGGTCCTTACATATGAAATTAGCGTTTTGTCGTACTGACCACATTGATCCGAAATATCTCCTCTTTGGTTGAGAATTCCAAATTCAAATATATAAATTCATTTAGCTGGTACATTTGAGTTTAGAAAACGGTCATTCATTTGTTTTTTCCTCATTATTTTTTTCATTTACGAGTACGAGTTCTACCGTGGCACCAGTGCTGCAGAAACAGCTCGAAGGATTAATGACGTGTACGGTGCTGGTGTCCCAATAGAAAGCATGGTACGTTTATAGTTTCAACCTTTTCGTTCTGGAAATTTCGACCTTGAGAACCAACCGCGTGGACGGCCGGAGACCAAAAGTGGAAAATGAAGAATTAAAGACTATTGTGGAAGCGGATCCATCACAAAGCACTTCAGAGGTAGCTGCAGGCTATTACTTACCCGAGTAAGTGATAAAACTGTATTAATCACCTTGAAGCAAATCGGGAAAGAAAATAAACTTGAACGATGGGGTACCTCATGAATAGAGTGAATCAAACTTGCAAACACGCGTCTTATTACACGCGTATTATTTTGCTCAATGGATACTAAAATGAAGGGATTTTAAGTCGAATGATTACTTGTAATGAAAAGTGGATACTGTACGATAATCGGAAGCGATCGTCGCAATGGCTGAACCCTGGAAACCCACCCAAATCCTGCCGTACACTCAGAATTTTGACATGAACATTGACTCAGAAAAAGTTACTTGTGAGTGTTTAGTGGACTAGCGCCGGTGTTGTTCACCACAGCTTTCTAAAATCTGGCCAAACGATTACGGCAGATATCTATTGTTAGCAACTGCAAATCATGAAGGAAGAACTAGCTGCTAAACAATCAAGATTGGTCAATCGCTCTAGGCTACTGCTGCTTCACGACAACGCAAGACCACACACTGCACAACAAACAACCACTAAGTTAGATGAACTACAATTGGAATGTCTGCGACATCCACCGTACTCCCCGAACCTTGTACCAGCAGATTAACATTTTCTTACAAGGAAAAAAATTTAATTCCGATGCGGCAGTTCAAACCGCCTTCAAAGAGTTTATTGATTCTCGCCCGTGGTTGTTTTAGTAAAGGGACTACCTATGAGATGGCAAAAGTGCATAGATAACAACAATGCATACTTTGATAACTGAAATATATTTTACAAAAAAATGACTTTATACTCCTCCCGTACAAAACACCAATTTCATATGTAATGACCTATTATTAGAATTTCAGACGCGAATTTTCTACAGATTTTTTAGATATATTATGTTGTATAGATTAATATTTAACCCCTAGTAAAAGTATAAAGTATAAGTATAAAAATATAAGCATATAAAAGTTATATATGTTATACATAGCATGTTATACACAGCATATGTTATACATCCTTTTACATTGGTTTTTATTGACCTTACTTAAAGTCAATAAAAATCTATGTACATGTATAATGTAATAAGTATATGTATGTATACGAAACCTTTATCATGCAATCCATTATTTAAAATACCTACACCACTCATATTGCATTACGATCAGTGTTATCGAACTCCGTTTATATTTTGGTTCGTAATATTAAGGAGTCATTTACTTTTAAAAGTTCGAGAAGAAAATTTATACGATTTCCCTTTGTCTATGTAATTTAAAAAATAATGTAAACATGATTATAATAAGCATTTTGGCGGACTGTCAAGAGTCTTTAAATGCTGTTGGCCGCAAAGAATTTGTATTCATATCATGCGTCGTAAACTGTTTCTTCATAGAAACTTTAGTATAAAATGTCTCGAAGCGTTGTATTCAACATCACTTGCTTTTAAGTCTTTGATTTCATTTGGTGAATTTTACAATATCCATTATGTTCAAATTGGTAAGTGTTACTTTATAAATATGTGTATGTGCCACGTTTTATATTTTGATTAACATATTTTATAATAGCAAATACTTTCATTGTCACGAAAAATCCTTAAAATTAAATTTACATTAACATCTTACTTTTACATTTGATATACCAATAGTATAAGTACTTTTTTTAATTTCCTACAGTTCATCTTCGCATGCTTCCTCGCCATAGCCGCTGCCAAGCCCGGCGTGTTTCCGATTGCCTATACCGCTCCTGTAGCGGCGGCATACACTGCTCCTGTGGCTGCAGCCTACACTGCGCCCTATGCCTATCCAGCGTACTCAGCCTACTCAGCCTACACAGCGCCTGTAGCATATTCTCCATACACATACGCTGCCCCATACTCCTACTATTTCCGTCGTTAATATAAATAAAATATAAGAATATAATTTAGTTTTTTTTTTAAATTATAACTGTTAAAAGAAAAAGAAAATGCAAGAAACGTTAAAAGAATGGAGACATCTACTACCTTCTATCTATATTCTAACTACATATTATACTTATACTGTTTACGTCTAAAAAAGAAAGGTAGACTATCAGAAATCTATATACTAAGTATTTTTATTTATTTATCATTTTCACAAGTTGAATACAAAAGCATAAGTAAAATAGCATCTATTAACCACAAAGGTTAGTAAATATTGCTATCATCTACATAGATATTTCATAAAGTTTGTTAAAGAAAAATAAATATACGTAATATTACGTTTTGTCGCAGAGTTTAAAAATCGTGATAAAATTATAATTTTGATAATTTGTGTAATTAAATAACAAGATGCTAAGTAAGTTTATTTCTAAGTGTTAAGATCAGTGTTGAGTAGGAAGTAAGATTTTAATTTTCTTTGAATATTTTCTCGTGCGTAGTTTATGAATATTAATCGGGGATCGAAATATTATAATTGACTCAAAGTTTAACTGGAACTACCACATTGAACAAGTGTGTAATAAGTTGCGTCAGTTTCTAGCCAATATAAAAATCCTAAAAAATCGCATACCCTTCAAAGTAAGACTTATGCTTTACAACTCCCCTGGCTGAATCTTATATTCAGTATGGCTTGTCGAGCTATGGTCGGACGTACAAATCATATTTAAAACAGATCTATGATCTTCAACTTAGTATTCTCAAAAATATTATATCCCCTAATATACGTATCCTAATTGGTGATGATGAAAATGCGATTTTTAAACATTGTAAAATCTTACCAGTTTATGACCAAATTAAATTCATGTTATTAAAAAAATATTTCTTTTGCGGCAGTTTAAAATCATATATAGAACATCCAGTACGTACGCGCGCTATGACACAAAACCGACTCCGGCATATCACTGCTAATAATGTGTACGGGCAACGGACGGCTGCTTATCAGATACCGCATTTAATAAATAACTTACCTTTCGATGTACGTGAAAAAGTATCACAACAAAACATTAAAACTAAACTCAAAAACTTTTTCCTATCTAAATTATAAATACATACTATATCTACTTAATAATAATAATATACTACCTGCCTAGCTCTTACTTTTACTTTTACCTTGCTACTTCTGACTTTAACTAAGTTGTACTTACCTTTTTA